TTTAAAAAGTAATTTTCTCATTATAATACTTTTATTTATTGTCATCAGCTGACAGTGCTCAATGTCATCAATGTGTATTTATGGGATCAGACCATATTCAAGATTCACCAGGATAAATTTGACATCAGCAGGCATTTTGAGCACCTGCTGGGAAACATTTCATACTTTTTGAGGTTTGATTTGACTCTTCTTTTACTGACTTTTAGGGACAATCATTTTCCAACTCGATGTGAACTTCATTGTGTGACTCTGCCACAAGCAGGTTTAAAAGTAACGTTTTTTTCAGGTCTGACGGGGTTTTGCAGGACTTTGGTTGAGTGCAGTCATCTCATGATAAGCCGCATGTGACAGTCTGTCAGGTCTCATCAGGAGGTATTCAGACAAGGAGTCAAATGTACAGTAGAACTAAAAATCATGGATGAGACCCCACAAGCGCTGCTTTTCCCTATCATCTTGTACTTTCCTTTAATTGAAGGTTGAATGAACAGATCAGCATGAGTCCATCAGCATCCACCCATGCTTACAGGATGTGGTGTAGCTGTGATTGCAACTGTAGGGAAAGAAGAAGAGAAAGAAGAAAAAAGGGAAATTACAGGGTTGTACCCTGTAACAAGCAGGATATGTTGTGACCTCTGTGCAAATACATTTTTCAGCCTTTACTTTTAATGTCCCTGATCCACTACTCTGATTTGATTTACATGAGGTGGATGTTATTAAAAGGTAGTTCCGAGGCTGCTTTCTTTCAATTTACATGTTGTTCTTTCACAAATAAGATTTCACAAGATTAAATGCAAAAATCCATTAGCGTTTTTTATGGGAATAAAAAGGCGTTGTCATCAGCAGCTTAAAGTCAAAGGTCAAATTTAGAACGTTAATTGAAAAAGTGAGTAGCGCTAGCCTGGATATATTTATAACAACACATTTTATCTTATGTTTAAAGGGGACCTATTATGCAAAAATTCACATTTTGCATTTTTTTTTTTTTTGTACTTCCATTTAATATGCTTATAAAAATAGCCCAAACATTTAAAAGAAAACAAACACTCAGACCATTTTCTGGTGATAAATGAATGTTTTTGGTGTCTGGAAAATGAGTCGTTTCAAAAACCTCACAATTCTTAAGACACATTCTAGAGGATTTGTGCCGTTACCTAGCCACCCCAGCGAAGCCCAGGCCCGTTACCTTGCAACCTCACCAACCGGTTTTATTGCTGCATGTGCTGTACAATGGCTGCTGGAAAAGAAAAGTGCTCCACATGTCCCAGACTCTGTCTGTCTCTCTAACTTTTCTTATTCTTTTTTACCCCTTTATTGATTTCAGCAGTCCAGGGATGTTCCCCTTGTCTGTTTGAGATCATGTGTGTGTTTTGTTAGGAGCTGGATCCTGTGTTTGCGCTCCTGATCTGTACTCTGTTGAGCTTCAGTCTGTCTCAGTAGCTGTGCTCCTGGGATATTTGGACCCCCTCCAGTTCCAAATACTTCAAAAAGACCAAATCTCTGTATTCTTGTCATGCTTTCAGCAGCGAGGTTTGTCTGCAGTGGGAATATTTTTGTCTTCGATCATAAGGCGCGCAGCGCGCGCTCTCTGACAGAGAGCTTCCTTTCAGCTGGAGAGTTTCTGTTTCTGCTAAAAGCAGGCGACATGAACGGTTAGCTTTCATGCACCCATTTTAATTTTGAAAAAAGAAAAACTGATCACATGACTGTCACTGAAAGCTTGGTCAAGAGAAAATAGCACAGCAGAAGTTAACTGCTGTGCGATTTTGGTTTTTAAGGGAGCTATTTGGCAAATATTTTTTTTAAGATGGACAAACAAAAACCACGTAGAAATAGACATTACTCTGAGTTGTTTAAAAAAAAAATTATTATACAACAGTGGCCACTGTTACTTTTATAATCATTTAAAAATAATATATAACCTTTTTGTCAAAATGAGACTGTAAAATAGTTTGCCATTATATTCTCCCGAAAACAAACATCAACTAACTACAAACATGAATGCTCTTATTGTGAAGGGGAGAAGGTGAGGCTAGGAGAGAAACTTTTTTTCTCATAATTTTAAGATATTTTTTTTCCAAGTAAAATTGCATCTTTTTTTCTGACTCCTTTGTACTTATGGAAAAAAACAAGCATGAGCATGAATGACCTCTTTCTTTATCCAGAGCTTAAATCTGACCGTTCAACAAGCACATTGGCCATTTCAAGGCAAACTCTTTGTTTTTAACAACCTGATCAGTGCATAACACGGAGGGCTTTGATGACTTACACAAACATAAATTATGTAAACAAGTGTGAGCACAAGATCTGTAAGAGTCCCAATCAGAGAGTGGGAGTCCTCTGAAGGACACTGAGACGGAGCGTGACAAAACCGTGATTAAACCCAGAGCAAGCGAGACGATCTGCAGACCGAGTGGCGAAGAAGAGGGAGGACGTGACCATGGAGGGGGTTGACAGAGCGAGACGCCAAAATGAAGAAACGTAGAGATGGAAGGGATAGGAAAATAAAAGGCCTGCCAGACCTGGCAGAGGCTGGAGAAAGACGAGGGATCCACTCGGAGCAGATAAAAATATCACAAATGGCCTTTGTGGAAGTGGGGAGGCAATTCTGAAATGTGTGATAACGCAGCTCGCAACAGGTAAAACTTACTCCAACCGTAACGTGTAAAGTTTCATGTCTTTATTTAAAATCCAGCCACAATAAAACATATTTTTTAAATTCTAAAAACGAGCTTTGCAACAAGTGTTGCATTATTTGGCTTGTGTCCTGTTCTAATTTGGGTAGAGGAAGCAGATTTCAGGTTGCCAGGGTGAGAGGAAATTACAGAAACCACAAAGTGACTGACAATCAGCCCTGAACGGCTATCAGTGGGAGCCATTTTGTATGTTCCCAAATTTATCAAACAGCTCCAGGTAAACACGCGCCCTTGGACCGAAGGAAACAAGTTCAGCAATTTGTCTTTCTCTGACAGTTGCTGCACTAAATGTTCTTTTTCTCTCTAAAAATATATATATATGGAAAAAACAGAAGGCAAAACTGCAAATGTGTTGCTTCTGCTTGCAAAACAAAGAGCCCACCTTGTCCTCATTTTATAATAATTCAGCCTAATAAAGATGAAGGCTGGGAACAAGGGAGTCTCATCCTCCAGTTGTCTAATCCTCCAGGGATACAGGAGGTAAAAATCACCATCAGTGACATGAGTTTGTACCAGTGGTGAACATCAGATAAGGGGATATTGTGCATGGCATCCCAATCAAGGTCACCTCACGACCTCTGAGGTTCAGTCACTTGAATTTATTATAAATCCTAAACTGCTGCAGAAATAGACGATAATGTGAATCACATAATGAGTAAAACGTGGTTTTAAATAATATGATTTGACTGCTGTTGTGATTTAAAGCTCCCGTAGCCGTGACCTTGATGTTTGTCTTTGGTTAGTGGTCCGACAGCACCACCTGCTGGTCAAGAACCAACAAGCAAGTCATTGTGAAAAACCTCAGTAACTTCAATAAATGGCAACTTCAATTTTAAAAACAGCATAAACAAGAATCTAATTTTTATTTTCATGCATATCTTTAACTAACGCTGTTCAGACTCTTTGAGAGATCATTAACTTAAAGCAACAATAAAACTTTAATTAATTAATGTAATTTATCAGTACAAAAAAGTTTTAGCCCTGGTAAAAAACCCTAAAAGGAGTTAATATTTTGATATTTGTAACTCACATTACAACCACAAAATTTAAAGCATTTATCAGAGATTTATGGTAAAGTGTTATATTACTTTTAACTCACTTTTTATGAACAATATAAATCTTATTTTTGTGGCAGAAGAGGAAGAGACAGATAAATTAGAAAAATGGTGAAAGATACCCTGTTAGATGCTGCAAAAGGATTGAGACTTGAGTTACCCTTCCTGAAAGACGATGCACTGCAAAAACGCAAAATATTACTGTTTTTTTGGTGTTGATTCTTAGTACGCTTACAATAAAACAAAACTAACGACCAAGTTACTTTTCAGCAAGACATAGGAGATTTCTTAATGTCAAACAGTCCTTGATGTTGATGATAAAGTTCTAGCTCCACCGGTAAATTATTTCACATATAAAATGGAAAAAAATGTTTGCCAGTGGAACTAGTACTACTCTGTCAATATTAAACTTTTGTTTACTTAAAACATTTTCAGCAATATTAATGAATTATTGACTTAAAGCAAGCTCTGATATCTTCCTGAAAAGTTACATGAGAGTTAGTTCTGTTGTATTTTAAGATATTTGCACTAAAAACCAGGCCAGAAGTGTCCAATGTCTGGATTTTGTGCAACCACCAGATCTGAACTCAATCCTAGAATTAAGCAAATCTGTCCTTCATTCATAGTTGGTTGATCCTGGCAAACACTTTTTCATCACAAACAATGTTTTGGAGCAGAAATGTGCTGTACAAATAAAGTTAGATTGGTTTATCTTTCAGGGCAGTTTATTTCCCAAAATAAATAATAGACTGCCTGTCTGTTAAGTTTTGGCATTCATTGTAATTTTGAAGTAATTAGAACCATAATTTTTACTCGAAAGCAAATCTTACAACCCAAATAAAACACAATCCCGAAACTCTGGTCTTGACTTTTACAAGAATTTACAGATCAGTTTTCTACAAAAACATGACTATTTTGAGCTCAATAAGATTTTTGTTTTATTTATTATTGAGCAGAATTTTAAAAAAGACAGAAAAAGTGATTTAAATCACATCAAAGTTTGATTTGATTGGCTGTACCTCATGTGATTTCTAATTTACAGTTTTTTGCCCTCAGAGCAAAAAGGTTGGACACTACTGAACTAGACCAGAAATATTTGGTAAGATTTTGTGTTTTTGCAAACAGAAAGCCAACTGTGAACCTTCTCAGATCTTATGCACCATTTTGTGTTGGTCTGTCATCTAAAACATTAACTAAACACACTCAGGTTTCTGGGACAATAAAAATGTAAATAAATACTTCTGCAAGGCGCTGCATTTACAAGTATGTATTTGGCATTAACCCAGGAGCACAAAGGTCATCAGGAAGATGACACACTGGAGCGCTGATGTTCTGGTTCGAGTCGCCGCCCCATTTTGGTGCAGCGGCTCCATACGTTCACAGCCTTTCCCGTGAAAGTACCCATAGCACTGGCACTGAAAGTTCGTGTCAAAAAGGACTTTGTCTGGGTCTGCCAGGTCGCCAGTGACTGTCAGTTTGCCGTCTCGCCTCTCGATGCGGTGTGAAAGGGGGTTGAGGTGAAGGTAAACATCGCTGTCCGGATGTTTGCGAAGGCAGCGGCCGTGAGAACCGCACAGGGTCTGGCTGCAGAGCTCTGCTGCCGTGGAGACGTTGAGGAGGTACGGGCTCAGTGTGCCTTGAAGATACGTGTTCAGGTCAGAGCAGGTGGTCTAAAGACAGGAAGAAGATGTGCATTTACAGTAAATGTTTGTATCAAGGTAAATAACTTTTTTTTTTTAATTCGCAAAGACAACTCAGGATGTCATCTGTGCCTGAGCCCAGCAACAGAAATAAATACATTTAAATTAAACAAAGAAAATCATGTATCCATTTCCCTTCTGGTTTACCTGCTTTATGTTGGCCTATCACATAAAATCCCAATAAAATGTGTTGGCCTCCATATTGAAAATAATTCTAGATTGGGCATTGGTGACAATGTGCCTAATCCATAAAGGCAGATCTATTCAGTCTAATTCTATGCTTTAATTTTTACATTTTTAACCAAGGCAATCAACCTATAGTTATCTCAGTTTCTTTATTAATTAATTTGCATTGGCTATTATACAACTGCACTGACTGACTAAATTTTAAGGTTGTGTTTTTACATTTGACCAGGGTTGTGAAGCTATTTGTGTATTTAAGTGTATTAAAAGTGCTGTAGAATTGCAGTTATCAAATAAATCTGTAATTCAGTACGTTTATGTCTGTTTTTAAAAAAATAAACATTTAAAGCTCTGTTTTTCTGGATTGGATCGGTATCAGAAGGGAACAAGTGGACCAGACAACCTGTGAAACATGATAGTCAGTTTATGCTTACTTTGTTTTTTGCATGTGTTGCATCTCCCCACAGGATGATTCCTGCAGCTCCCAGAGCGACACTCTCCCCGATGGTGGACACCAGGTCAAACTAGAAAACAGAATTCAGCTCTTGAAATTCACAGGTCAACAAAACTGCTTTGAAACTTCAAGGAAAAAAAAGGAAGAAACAAGATTTTATGTTTTTCCCCTTTCTATCTTTAAGGGTGATTCAACATATCTTTAATGAAACCAACACCCTTTCCGATAAGAAAAACTGAAGATGAGAGTTAGTTCTGTTGTATTTTAAGATATTTGCACTAAAAACCAAGCCAGAAGTGTCCAATGTCTGGATTTTGTGCAACCACCAGATCTGAACTCAATCCTAGAATTAAGCAAATCTGTCCTTCATTCATAGTTGGTTGATCCTGGCAAACACTTTTTCACTTCATAAGTCAATAATTCAATCAATCAATCAATTGATCAATTATTTTATTTTGGTAAATTGTCCACATCAAACACAAGAAATGAAAAAAGAAAAAAACATCAAAAAACAAACCCACAGTTTACCAAAACAGGAACAAGCTGATGCGGAGCTTATTTTTGTCTACCTTGTTTTTTAATACCCTACAACCTACCAGGATATCTTCACAATGAATATATAAATCTACATAACAGCACAAGATTTTATCATTTTACATTTAAAGTTCACCAACAAAGGACATAACTGAAATGCATCATTCAATTTATTCCACAGTTTCACATCAATAACAGAAACACATCTCGGCTTTATCTGGCTCTTCTCTTTTGCACATTCAAATACAAACAAACCTTGCAAAGGCCTATTTATTCTCTCTTAGCTTAAATAATTTCTGACTACCTGAAGGAAGACATTTGTTCAGTGCTTTATACATTATTTCCAGTACTTTTACATAAACAATATTTTTACATTTTAATATGTTACTTTAACGAAAGGGTTTTTCAGTTGGTTCACGGTATCCCATGAACCAACCGGTTCATGTTTGGTTATGAAACAGTTGGTTTATGAACCAACCATATAAGTGCAGTTAATAATGCACTTATTAACTGCAGTTAATAATGCAGTTAACAAGTGCATTATATTAACTTTCCACATAGCCACTTAAAGGCAAGTGTAAAACAGGATGTGAGTGTTTCTGAATGATGGTTCAAACTTGTCAGCAGGAGAGGCTAAAGAAAGCGGCGTGTCACCTCTGTCAGATATTCCAGGTTGTTGCCGTAGATGGGTCGGGCGTACACAAAGACAGGATGTGCCATCTCGTCGCCGGATGAAGACAAACGCATCCCTTCCTGCACACGGTTCCGCACAAACAGCCGTCCTGCGGATGAGGAGCGCAACACTTTGAGCATGTAGATGGAAGGGAAGAGCGCCGTGCTCTCGGTCCACAGCCACTTCAGCTGCTCGTTGCGGGCCTTCTCCACATCGGGGCAGCGGCCCGTGTAGCCCTCCAGGGAGCGCAGGTAGTCATGGTTGTAGCAGTCCGGGAACAGGTAGAACCCCCACAACTTGTTTGGCCGCAGGCTTTTGGCATGGCGTAGCGTGTCCAGCATGAACTTCTTGGCAGACATCTCAAACTCCAATTGGGCCACTTTCCCCACCTGCTCGTCGGACCAAGTTGGGTTCTTTTGGCGCACCAGTTCACGGGAACGTCTGCGGTAAATGTCTTTGGGTCCCCAGTTTCGCATCCAAAGGGGACGCCATTCTTCCCAGTCAATAACCGCTAAACCTATAGTGTCCCGGTTTGGTATGTACTTATCAACACCTTTCTGCATTTCGCTAAGGTGCTGCGAGAGACTGGCATTCTGCGGCAGCCCCCCGTGCATCGGCATCTCATCCGCATCAAAGTAGGGGTACAAGCCCAAGCGGTCCTGGTAGAATAGGGTCAAGTTCTGCCCAACAAAGTTCTCAGTTGGTGTAGCCACAATCTGGAACTGATCCAGTTCCAAAGAAACGTTGTACCTGGAGCCACACAACTGAGTTGGGACATTCCAGGCGAGGAGAAGGTGTTTCTTGGAGAACAGGGGAAATCTTGTAGGTTTCACTTCTGAAGCGCAGAAGCCGTCCCAGAGCAGAACAATCAGGAGTGGTACTCTCCAGAAATAAAGAGTCCAATACAACATGTCTTCAGATGTGTCCCGAGTCTCCTTCTCGGCCCTACAATTTAGAGAGGAAAATGTAGGTGTACAAATTTCTGCATTGCACTTTCTTTCCCTACATACACTGTATGTTTTGGTCAGGAAAACCTTACCTGCTTGACCGTGTTCTACAGGTTTTCCAACAGGTTGCTGCTAGGTAACCACAAACTACTCAAGAGATTATTGCCAGGTAACCAAATAGTGAGTTAGTTGAAGCCACTGACCTTTAAGGTTGAGCAGCTAAAGTGTTTCTTCTGTCTACATTTCCCAGAATGTAAGCAAAGAATCAAACAAATTTTCAGTATCAAACAAAGCTAACCAGACTGAATGAAAAAAAATGTTTTCAGATGACAATTTAATTTAATAAGAGGCAAAAACCCAGTTTAAACCAACCTGGCCCACTTGGTAAAACTAAATACCCTCCACAAGTTAAAAGGTAAAGGTAATGGTAATTTTATTTATGTAGCACATTTTCAACAACAAGCCAACATGAAGTGTTTTAAATAGAACCTGTTACACAACACAAAGAGGCTAAAAGTTGTCAAAACGCAACACATTGGGATCTGATCTAAAGAAACCCATGGAAAGGGTTAAAGAACCCAAATATAAACTCTTGAGGGATTAACAAACAAACATGGTGGTTGTGTGATTATCTTTGATTTGCAGTACTAAACTTCATATGGAGTTTTATCAAGAAATTTTGTGGTTCTCTTTTATTACAATAGCAGTACAAGTTATGATGAAAAGCTTTTGATTGCTTCTATTTTAGGTAACTATATGGCTCTGACTTCATAGCGCCACAAACATAAATGCTGTTCTTCAGTTCCCATTTGAAATGAGCTTCTTGAGGATGCCATTTGTCTTGGTCAGACAGTTGCTGCAGTAAATGTTCTTTTTCTCTATATAAATATATATATGGAATGTATAGATAAGAAATAAACAGAAGGCAAAACTGCAAATGTGTTGCTTCTGCTTGCAAAACAAAGAGCCCACTTTGTCCTCATTTTGTAGTAATTCAGCCTAATAAAGATGAAGGCTGGGAACAAGGGAGTCTCATCCTCCAGTCGTCTAATCCTCCAGGGATACAGGAGGTAAAAATCACCATCAGTGACATGAGTTTGTACCAGTGGTGAACATCAGATAAGGAGACATTGTGCATGGCATTCCCATCCCAATCAAGGTCACCTCACAACCTCTAAGGTTCAGTCACTTGAATTTATTATAAATCCTAAACTGCTGCAGAAATAGACGATAATGTGAATCACATAATGAGTAAAACGTGGTTTTAAATAATATGATTTGACTGCTGTTGTGATTTAAAGCTCCCGTAGCCGTGACCTTGATGTTTGTCTTTGGTTAGTGGTCCGACAGCACCACCTGCTGGTCAAGAACCAACAAGCAAGTCATTGTGAAAAACCTCAGTAACTTCAATAAATGGCAACTTCAATTTTAAAAACAGCATAAACGAGAATCTAATTGTTATTTTCATGCATATCTTTAACTAACGCTGTTCAGACTCTTTGAGAGATCATTAACTTAAAGCAACAATAAAACTTTAATTAATTAATGTAATTTATCAGTACAAAACATTTTTAGCCCTGGTAAAATAAAAAATAAAAAATGGGAAAAAAAGTCCTAAAAACAGTTAATATTTTCTTTTTTATTGCACTCTGACAAATAAAGAAAAATCCAACATTTAATTTCTGCTTTGAGAAATAATAATAATTTTTAAAATTTTAACATGTTTAAAGTTACTAGTTAGAGAAGATCAATTTTTGTGTTAGAGGTTCAATCCAAAAATCTTATAAAACGTGGGCCCCTCTGTTATTTTATTTTGAAAGACTGGATGCTCTCCCCCATGCCTGAAAGTCAGGCAGGAGCTGGCTCTGCTGTGTCTGCCTGCGCCCCCGGCCCGGCGGCCTCGAAGGTTCTTTATGGTTCTGGCTATTGGTAGTGATTGTCAACCTGTGCAGTTTTTAATTTCCATGTCCTGACTTGATTTGTGTGTCCACGCATGTGCGGACACTTGTTTACATGCTGTCCACGTTTCTGAGTTCTGTCTTGGTCCCCTGGGTTTTCATGCTTGTGGTTTTTCAGCCACAAGCATAATTATTGTTGTTTTTATTGTGTGGTTTTTCCCCCCTCTGTTATATTTTTCTTACTTTATTTGTTGTTTTTATTATTTACAGTCAGGTATGGGTGGATGGGGAGAAGTAGGGGATAGAACAAAAAGAAGGAAAAGGAGGGAGAATGAGGGAGAAGAAAAGAAAAGAACAATGCTATGTTGCCTTTGTCCCTGTGTTCAATGTGCTGTTATTGATAGTTGACTAAATAGAAAGAATATATGTAAAAAAAGGTTACACTTAACTTTTTAAAGTAAGAGTATTAATCAGTTCTTAAGAAGTGATCAGAGGTTTCTGTTTCCCAGAGGCAAAAATATGACACCATTATACAACATTTTCTGATAATTACTCTACAAAATGGGAAAAATAATAAAATATCCCCTTTTTTTCTTGTGAGTAGAAGATATTACAAATGTGTAATGTCTTATACTCACAAGATATTACATACTTGTGATTATGCAATATCCTCACAAGTCAGATAATAATTACAAGAAAATTGCTACTTTCTGAAACTTACGTAAGTTTAGAGTTAGAGTGATATTTAAAAAGTTGTAAAAAATCTTTACCAGGGTGCCAGTAGTTTTGGAGGGAGCTGAACATATTGAACAATTCACACCATGTCTCAAACTTTGGTATGAAATTATCAGAAAGACTTTCTTCAATCTGATCTTTGTAAAGATTTGAGACCACCTTTACAAAAATATTTAGTTTGGTGTTTCAGGAATAACAAAGACTTAACTAATGCTCATTTAAAGCCAACAGCTATTAAATAAGAGTAAACATCATTTGCATGATACTTTTTAGAAGCTCAAAGTTAAATCAAAACAACAAATTTTCCACTTGGAATTTCATTTTATGACTCGTGCTATTGTGTCTTAAATACAGTCTGCCTGGAAAACTAATAGGATCTGTGCAGTTCGCAGAAGGATTTGATTTAGTAGGCAGACACCAAAACATCAGTGGTTTATGTAAAATTAAAAAAAACACACATGCACATATTAGTGCATACTGACAATAAAATCAAAACACAGATACAAAAAAAGTAAGTAATGATTTAAAAAAATATACCTGTTTTGAAATGAGCAAGAATCAATCAACTCAGTCCATTCATCAATCTTCAAAACCCATTTGGTCCTGATTAGGAATTGCAACTCCACCTCAGAACGACAGACACTGACACTTAAAATTAGAGTTTCCAGTACTGCTAAAAGGCACATCTTTGGGTTCTGGGAAGAACTTGCTTGTTGTGATGACACAATAAACAACAAGCAAACTCCACTCAGAAAGACTGACTTGCACTTCCCCTCTGATTATTTAAAACTATTGTAATCTCTAAACCGGCATGGAGCAGTCCTTCCCTTTCCACCCCGGGTAACACCTGCAGTGAAAGTCAGACTTCATCTGCAGCGCACTTTGTACATCCATCTGCCCTAAAACCCTGTAGTTTGTCCCTCCTGCTGGTTTCTTCTCAGAAAGGATCTTCCAGGCTGCGGGGTCGAGGTGGAGGTAGGCGCCTGACTTCAGGTCCGACCTCTGACACCGTCCCTGAGAGGAGCACAAAGTCTGGCTGCAGAGCATCGCAGCTGAGGTCACGTTGACCACGTAGGGACCTAACGTCTCATCGATGTAGGACTTAACTGCTTCACATGTAGCCTGGACAAACACAGCAAATGGCATAGAATAAACAAACCCAAACCTGAAGTGTATTTTACAAGGATTTTGTGAAACAGACCAACATAAAAGAATGGATGATTGGGAAGAGAAAGCAAAATGACACATGCTTTAAAACTAAATATTCAGAAAACAAAATACTTAGCACCAAATTAAACAGCTAAATATTTTGCGGGATAACTAAATATTTAGCTTCAATTTGAATATATGGGTTGTGAACAAAATATTTAGTGCCAAATTTAATATTTAGGCCCAAAAAACATTTAGCTCCAAACTCAGTATTTAGTCAGTGAGCTAAATATTTAGCTTCAAATATAATATTAAGCTCAGTGCTAAATATTTAGCCTGAAGGGAAATATTTACTTAGTTATATCCTTACTTCAAAAACAACTTTGAGATTGTCACTGAAAAGCTTTATTTATATTGAGATTATAATATACACAGGAGTACTCTAATAAGACAACTTCTGAAACCAATTGTTTGCACTAGATTTCACTTGGAAATAGATACAAATCCAACCCTCAAATTTGGATTTTTGATTAAAATCAGAACTTTTTTCTTCCAAATCAGAACTTTTACCTTTTATACATAAAAGTGACAGAACATAAAACACTTTCAGGAGGAGTGAATACTTTTGCATGTCTAAACTGCAAATTTTGCTAATTCCTCCTTTAAGATCTTCAGCCTTTTGCACTGTGTGGAACGCCCCCATAGTTCTCTGTGGGGGCGTCACTGCAGGAGACGACAATAGGTGCCTGAGACGCTAAAGATCATTAAACCTTTAGCGTTTGATGATCTAATAGTCATAAAGGAAAATGATTTGTAACAAGTGTCACTTTCACAACAGCTTTTCTAATAAGTGTTTCAACAGATATCAGTTTTATACAAAGGGAAAACAGCCATTGCATGTTTTATACCTTAGATTTGTCAAATGCATGGTCCCCCCACAGCACGACCCCAGCAGATCCTAAAGCAGCGCTCTCTCCTACAGTGTAGACCAGATGCTTCTGTGTTGTAAAGACAGAATATTATTGACATCGGACCATGCTGAAGAAGATGGTACTAACCCGCCACTCACCTTGGAGAGGAACTCTAATGTGTAGGTGTAGACGATGCGGGCGTAGGGGAAGACGGGCAGCTGCCACGGGGTCACCTGATCTGCCGCCCTCATGGCCTCAAGGATGCGGTGATGGGCGTAGAGCAGCACCTCTTTGCCAAGGCCTCGCAGGTCCAGGTTCAGGTAGATATCCGGGTACAGAGCGGAGGAGGCGTTCCACATCCAGAACAGCTCATCGTTCCTCCTCAGCTCCACATCTGGACACTCACCTGTGTAGTTTACGCTCCTGTCGTTGTAATAGTTGTAGCAATTGGGAAATCCATAAAACCCCCACAAGCCACCTGGCCTCATTTTCTGCCCCAGTTTCTGTGTTTCCTCTATGAATTTCCTCCCAGATTGCTCAAACTCCAGCCGAGCCGCTGCCTCCACCTGAGCAGGACTCCAGTCTGGATGCCTGGCCCTCACCAGGGCTTTTGACCCCTCCTTGTACACTTGTTTACTGTCCCAATTTCTCTCCCACACCGGCCGCCAGCTTTCCCAGTCCACCACCGCCAGGCCCTGGAAGTCTCTGTCAGGGATGTAGTAGCGGATATCTTCACTGGCGAGTAGAAGGTGTCTGTCTAGGCTGCTGTTCTGAGGAACCCCGCCGTTGATGGCCTCGCCCTGGGCTGAGTACCGAGGGTACAGACCCAGCTTGTCAGCATAGAAAATTGTGACGTTTTCACCCATGAAGGTTTCATTTTGGTTCTGGACGATGCTAAACATCCCCAGGTCAAGATCCACGCCATACTGGGAGAGGCAGTTCTCTGTGGGGGCGTTCCACACAGTGAGAAACGGCGCCTGGCTGAAAGGCGAGGCAACAGGCAGGCCTGAAGTTAGTCTGAGCAGACCAAAGAGGAGCAGCACCTCACAGAACCTCATGGCTGAAAAGAGGAACAAAGAGCTGTCACTGGGACAGGTTATGAAATTTCAGACAGTTGCAAGACAGTGTTCTGTTTTTGTGTCGGTAACTCAAAATATCAGTAATTTCATTAGTTAATGCCACTTTTTTGCCTTGAAGGAATAAAATCATCAATTGCAAAATTGTGTAAGAATGTAAAAAGTTTCAGAATGGCTCAAAGGCCAGACCTACATCCAGTTGTGAATGTGCAATAAGACTTGTGGATTTCTGTAGAAACAATTTGCAGAAAAAACTGGTAATACTTTCATAGACACGTTGAACGCTATTGTTTACGTGCGGAAATATCGCGCATGCGCACAATGCTGGGGGGTGGGGGGCAAAAAGACGATTCTTTAACTTGTCATAGCCACTGCTCCTAAGACAGCGAGAAATTAGGTTAATAAATTGAAACTTGGAGGTCTAAGTGAAGCAGCGCGTCACAGTGAAGGGAAAACATCGCAGAGAAACCGGTGAAGAGCAAGTCAAAACCGCCCCTTTTCTTTTTTTTGTGTAGCCGTTATGGCAACGGCTACATAACGGCTAACAGGCAGCCGAGCTAGCTGCTGGTCGACTAGCTCGGCTAGCTGACAGAGATTCAACACCAGAAAACACGTAAATATGAATCTATGACCAGAAACATTCAGTCTCTTTCCAGTTTTACTGTTTTCATGCTAAGGTTGTCAAAGTCAACCTGACATACCTGACTTACCTCCTTCTCCTTTATTATTTTTTTTATTTTTTATTTAAACCTTTAACTAACCTGTAAGCTTGTGTTCTTGTTGTCATAGTGTTGACAATTAATAGCAAAACACTGCGTCTCTTTTTCTTTTATACATCTTGCATACATTTAAGATTTAGCGCATTACGTTGACAGCTAAAAACAATGATGGTCATTGTTTTTTTTCCCCCTCCAACAGGAAGCTGGGGGCGGAGTTTTGCCCGCTTGACGTCACGTTTCAACGTGCCAAATAAAATGATGGTAAGAAATCAATCATTTACTTATTTATGTGTATAGCGCTTTACACAGCCAAGGTTCATAAGACTAAAGTGTTTAACATGGGAAAGGGGAATATAAAATAAACAGCAGGAAGTAAATCCCAAAAAATAAAAACAGCAACACAAAATAAACTAAATACTCAAGAAGTAAAAGGTAAAAAAGGAGAGTATTGATCAGAGAACCAGGCAAAAACTCCTCTAACCATGCTGAAACATTTTGATGGTAGTATTATAGTTGTGGAGGATCTTTTTTCTGAACAACAGAACAGAGAAGCTGCTCGGTTAATAAATACATTAAACTAAATACAGAACAAGCCTGGATTAAAACCAAATCGAAGCCGAAAGAGATTTGAGCTTCATTTCCAGCAGGAGAAGAACTCTAGCTGCAATAGAAGGGTTTGGAACAATCCATACTGATGTGTCAGAATGTCCTAGTCAAAGTACAGACCTAATTTCAATTGAAAAGTTGTGGAAATACTAATGGTTTGTTGTAGAGGTTCTTAACTCTTAAACAACTGATCTTAAGTACTGTCAAGTAGTCGAGTTTTGGCAAGGAAATCATCTACAAAGAATGATCCAGTCATAAATCCAGTGCAGATTCTCAGCACAAAAACAGCAGCTAATCATTTCACACAAAATTAAATAAGCAAGCATGATTAACAGAAAACTTCAAACTGGCGTGAATTTGTAACAAAAACAACCCTCTTACCTACTGTAAAACCTTCAAGAGGTTCTAATTTGTGGTTTGCTAAAGACACCAGAAGTCTCATGATCTGACTGAAACAGGGAGGGAAACTAAGCAGGGAAAGGGGAAGTGAAACGCCAGAACTGGAACCAATCCGATGCAAGCTCAAGACTTCTACCAGCAAATGAGAAGAGACATGCAAATCTTGCAAAAGCAGCCTTAAAGTCACAGGCAAGCTCCAACCGAATCCAGCTGCTTTCTCCCTCATGCTGCTTTCAATATGAACACATAAACAGAGCTGGAAATAACGGGAGAGGTCACAGAGTACTAAGAGACAATCAAGAAAGCCATAATGAACTCCTACACATCCAAATTCACATGTAAGCTCTGCTCAGCTTATTAAAATAGTATAAATAACTTTTGGCCAAAAACACCCTGTAATTACAGAGGGAAGGAGTAAGAGGCTGCCGCTGCCGCTTGCCTCCCGGGAGCAGCGGGCTCAGACTGTCCTGATGAATAAGTCACAAAGACTTCCTATTGAAACTTTGCTTTTATTTGCAAAAGATAACAAATGTGTACCTTTGTAATAACAAAGTCAGACTTCACCATTAATGCTTCCAGTGATTTACACAAGAAACTGCACAGGCTCACAAAAAACGCTTTATTTGCAGTGACAAATCAGAAGAAAACAGCTTGTACTTTTGCATTTTTAAGCAGTTTCCAAACTTACCCTCAAATGAAGTTCTTGCTCTGTGATTCCGAGGTAAAAATACACACACTGTGAGCTGTATAAAGGCATTAGTAGTCATGATTCAGACATACAACTATAAACCCAGATTCCAACCTCAGATACATTCAAATAAATAGAAATGCGTGGAAAAACATCCGACGCCAGAGAGTGGTCATTTTGGGAGGTTAAACATTTTTAAAAATCTGGCACTTACGGTGTGTATGTTGTGCTCCAAGCTGATTTAAGTGCTTCATTCCCACTCTGACCACCCAGCAACAAACATATTCCTTCATTTTATTCAACACATTTACAACAGAAGCATCAGATCCTGTAGAGAGACGAAGAATTTGACACCTTGGGAGCCAGAGGGAAAACGGAGAGCAAAATGTAAACAGTGTCATTTCCAGCGGGCCCTCTGCTGTTTAAAAAACGCTTATAATTTATAAACAAACATCACTTTTCCATCCACTTTGTTTATAATACAGTTTGACTTTCTATCATGAAAGTTTTGCAGCAGAAAATTACGAACTAATCCCTCTTTGTGCTTGTGTGCAGTGCTTTATGAAAGCCTTGATGTCTTCTGTTTCACATTTTGTCACATTACAACCACAAACTTTAAAGTATTTGTCAGAGATTTACGGTAAAGACCAACTCAAAGTATTACATTACTTTTTAATTCACTTTTTATGCACATCATAAATCTGGTTTTTGTGGCAGAAGAGGAAGAGACAGATAAATTAGAAAAATGGTTAAAGATACCCTGTTAGATGCTGCAAAAGGATTGAGACTTGAGTTACCCTTCCTGAAAGATGATGCACTGCAAAAACACAAAATCTTGCTGTTTTTTTTGGTGTAGTTTCATCACAAACAATGTTTTGGAGCAGAAATGTGCTGTACAAATAAAGTTAGATTGGTTTATCTTTCAGGGCAGTTTATTTCCCAAAATAAATAATAGACTGCCTGCCTATTAAGTTTTAAGTTTTGGCATTCATTGTAATTTTTAAGTAATTAGAACCATAATTTTTACTCGAAAGCAAATCTTACAGCCCAAATAAAACACACAACCCCAAAAATGTGGAAACTCTGGTCTTGACTTTTACAAGAATTTACAGATCAGTTTTCTACAAAAACATGACTATTTTGAGCTCAATAAGATTTTTGTTTTATTTATTATTGAGCAAAATTTTAAAAAAGACAGAAAAAAGTGATTTAAATCACATCAAAGTTTGATTTGATTGGCTGTACCTCATGTGATTTCTAATTTACAGTTTTTTGCCCTCAGAGCAAAAAGGTTGGACACTACTGAACTAGACCAGAAATATTTGGTAAGATTTTGTGTTTTTGCAAACAGAAAGCCAACTGTGAACCTTCTCAGATCTTATGCACCATTTTGTGTTGGTCTATCATCTAAAACATTAACCAAACACACTCAGGTTTCTGGGACAATAAAAATGTAAATAAATACTTCTGCAAGGCGCTGCATTTACAAGTATGTATTTGGCATTAACCCAGGAGCACAAAGGTCATCAGGAAGATGACACACTGGAGCGCTGATGTTCTGGTTCGAGTCGCCGCCCCTTTTTGGTGCAGCGGGTCTATGTGTTCACAGCCTTTCCCCTCAAATCCCCTGTAGCACTGGCACTGAAAGTTCGTGTCAAAAAGGACTTTGTCTGGGTCTGCCAGGTCGCCAGTGACTGTCAGTTTGCCGTTTCGCCTCTCGATGCGGTGTGAAAGGGGGTTGAGGTGAAGGTAAACATCGCTGTCCGGATGTTTGCGAAGGCAGCGGCCGTGAGAACCACACAGGTTCTGGCTGCAGAGCTCTGCTGCCGTGGAGACGTTGAGGAGGTATGGGCTCAGTGTGCCCTGAAGATACGTGTTCAGGTCAGAGCAGGTGGTCTAAAGACAGGAAGAAGATGTGCATTTACAGTAAATGTTAACGTTTTATGTCAAACTGCAAACCACTCCTTGTAAAAGGAAATATAATATGGCCCAATGCATTTAAATGGTTGTTTCATACTGTCACTGTAAAATTTGGAGTACCTTGAGTTTTATTTTCAAATCCAGGCTCTTATTTTGGTAGTACTTAACTCCGTTGAAAACGGGAAAAGGACAAAAAAGGAAATGCCAAACTGATTTGAAAGTAATTTTAAGCTCTTTGATAAAAAGATATTTAAATGTGGGGGAAATCTGGGGGAAAAATTGACCACACAGCACTGAACCCCATTGAAAACCTCCTGGTTATTCCACTGAATGTTGATTTCTGAACTCTTCCTGAGTTAAAACATTAGATTTTTTGTTTCTAAATTATAAACTTGATTGCTTTGCATTATTTGAGGACTGAAAGCACTACATCTTTTTGGTTATGAGACCATTTCTCATTTTTGGCAAATTATATCAAAAATGTTTGCTTGGTATTTCAGAGACATGTTGTCAGTAGCTCAAAGAATCAAAGAACAATGTTCATTTTACTAAAACATTTATCCATGCCTTTGAATGCTAAGCACAAAAATTAAAATTTACTTCTGGTTTTTTAACTCAAAGCTAAAACATCTTAAACTGGGATCGATCTAAATACCAGGTTCACCTTTGAAGATAAATTGAAGGCAGGATTTGCCACTGCTGGTTTTTAAAGATATTGTTTAAAGGTATCTATTGCAGTCTCATAAAGAAATCTTTTGAGGTTTGAATTGATTTAGGTCCTTTTTATACCAATATATATTTTACAAAACATATTTTCTGCTGTGTTTGTTCCTCCTGCCTTACACAAAGTACCTTTTTGCTGATAAAAATTTATATTTTATTTAAAAATGCTGTCTGGAATTTTTTTGGTGTTATCTGTAAAGAGTTACTGTCTTGAGGTTATTAAACACAAATAAGAGGTTTACTTTACACATGGCCACAACTCAAAAATATATGGGGAACAATAAAGCTTTCCCTTTTAATTATATTTTAGGCTACACCCAATGATTGTTTCAGATACATTTTGTTTACAACATGTACCCATATTTCTCTCCTAGAACAAACCAGTAAATAATATGTCTATGATATACAATTCACATTCTAAGGCACAAAAGCATACTTGCACCAAATTACAGCCTTGCACAATCATGGAAGAAGCTCCTGGATTGATGGATTTTACATACAAGCCTCTGTTCTGCCAAGTGAGCACAGATGTACAAACAGGGAGAAAGCAGACAGGAAGGAGGAGACAAAGATTTGAACTTTGCACAAGGTTTTTATAGCCCACGTACATGAAAACTGTTCTACACTGATGTCTACACACTCTGAAGGTAAAAGCAGACCATCAACTCAGCAAAATAAGAAGGAAAACTTATCCAAACGCTAAATAATCACACTTTTGTGTGAGTCTATACATCATGTGTTTTTCTTCATTTTAAATAGTTTCCTCCTTCCACCTTTAGCAGACTTTAATTTTCCTTCAGACAAGTATCTTCTGTGTATCTGCAGAACAAATGGCTTACAGTAGAATTAGTGACTGACTCAGAGTCCTGAGTGTCAATGACTTGACATGCGACAGGCAGACAATTTTCTAGGCGATAATTGTCTGCCAAAAGTATTCATATCTGTTCAACATTTTCTCAAAAACAGCCAAAAACTTTGATATTTCATGGGTTTTAAGTGACAGAACAATTATCATCATTATGAGAAAGGCAAGTGGTACAACATTTTTAAGTAATTACAAAATACAAATCTGCAAAGTGTGGCATGGATCTGCTTCTTCAAGTTAGTTTTTCATAAATTAAAAGTAGGTTACAACGCGAAGTTTATATTGTAATCTAAAGCTTCGGACATCTCAAAGAGTGCTTCAATCCACAATGTGAAACACCGAGTTTCTCTGTCCCCTCTGTGAAACACGGTGGTGGCAGCCTTATGCTGCAGGCAAGCTTCAGAAGGACAGGAGGGCTGGTCAGATGTTATTGGGATGTCGAAGGGAAAAAGGTTAATTTGTAAAGAAAACCTGTTTGACGCTGCAAAAAACGACATTGAGTTGGAGCAGAGCAACAACCTAAACATGCAGCTGGAGCTACAATAGCTTGGTATATTAACATTTATCTTTTAGAGTGGATTAGAACTAAATTGACTTAAAATTTTGGTGAAACTTGAGCAATTTTACTAAGAAAAATGGAAAAAAAATATTTAGCATTTTGGATCCCAAAACAATGAGGAACTGGTGTTAAACTGCTTTTTTTGACTTTGATATTTTTAGATTTATATCTTATATAATGTAGAATATTATTGTCATTAGTGACTGATTATGCATTTCTCACAGTCACAGATATCTTTTTATGGACTGATTGCCCATCCTGTCTCTGATTGGCTTAGATTCCCTTTCATCTCTAAATAGACACATTGTTAGAGAAGCTGATGATGGCATGCAGACGAAACGCATCCGATTTTTGCCCTTATTTAAAACCTATGACTATTTTTATGTAGTTCTTCAAAACCAGAAAGTTATTCACTCTTCCTGTTTTACATTGTGGGTGTGTGGACTCACTTCCTCCTATTAAAAAGTCCAAAAACAATAGAGATTTACCCCAAAAGGCTTGCAGCTGAGATCACAGCATAAAGTGGTTCAACAAAGTGTTAACTAAGAGAAATAAATAAATAAACCACATTTAAAATAAACAAAGAAAATCATGTATCCATTTCCCTTCTGGTTTACCTGCTTTATGTTGGCCTATCACATAAAATCCCAATAAAATGTGTTGGCCTCCATATTGAAAATAATTCTAGATTGGGCATTGGTGACAATGTGCCTAATCCATAAAGGCAGATCTATTCAGTCTAATTCTATGCTTTATTTTTAAAATTTTTAACCAAGGCAATCAAATTATAGTTATCTCAGTTTCTTTATTAATTAATTTGCATTGGCTGTTATATACCGAACTGCACTTACTGCATAAATTAAAGTTGTGTCTTTACATTTGACCAATCTTGTGAAGCTATTGGTGTATTTAAATGTACTACTAATTGTGCTGAGTTATCAAATAAATCTGTAATTCAGTACGTTTATGTCTGTTTTTAAAAAAATAAACATTTAAAGCTCTGTTTTTCTGGATTGGATCAGTATCAGAAGGGAACAAGTGGACCAGACAACCTGTGAAACATGATAGTCAGTTTATGCTTACTTTGTTTTTTGCATGTGTTGCATCTCCCCACAGGATGATTCCTGCAGCTCCCAGAGCGACACTCTCCGATGGTGGACACCAGGTCAAACTAGAAAACAGAATTCAGCTCTTGAAATTCACAGGTCAACAAAACTGCTTTGAAACTTCAAGGAAAAAAAGGAAGAAACAAGATTTTATGTTTTTCCCCTTTCTATCTTTATGGGTGATTCAACAGATCTTTAATGTAACCAACACCCTTCCTGCTTGCTCCACACAAATTAAAAGGTACTAGGGACGTCTGACTGCTACCAAAACAGGAAAGGACTGCGCCTGCCGATAAGGAAAACTGAAGAGCTGTAGCTTCACTCAGCATGGGAGGGGGCTTGTGAGCAAATGCTCTTCTGCGACTGAGATTTGTTTGTTTGAGGGATGACACAAGTGCGTTATATTAACTTTCCACATAGGCACTTAAAGGCAAGTGTAAAACAGGATGTGAGTGTTTCTGAATGATGGTTCAAACTTGTCAGCAGGAGAGGCTAAAGAAGGCGGCGTGTCACCTCTGTCAGCTGTTCCAGGGAGTTGGCGTAGGTGGGTCGGGCGTACACAAAGACAGGACGTGCCACCTCGTCGCCGGATGAAGCCAAACGCATCCCTTCCTTCACACGGTTCCGCACAAACTGCCGTCCTGGGGAAGAGGAGCGCAGCACTTTGCCCATGTAGATGGAAGGGAAGAGCGCCGTGCTCTCGGTCCACAGCCACTTCAGCTGCTCGTTGCGGGCCACCTCCACGTCGGGGCAGCGGCCCGTGTAGCCCTCCAGGGAGCGCAGGTAGTCATGGTTGTAGCAGTCCGGGAACAGGTAGAACCCCCACAGATTGTTTGGCCGCAAGTGTTTGGCATGGCGTAGCGTGTCCAGCATGAACGTCTTGGCAGACATCTCAAACTCCAATTGGGCCACTTTTCCCACCTGCTCGTCGGACCAAGTTGGGTTCTTTTGGCGCACCAGTTCACGGGAATGTTTGCGGTAGGTGTCTTTGGGTCCCCAGTTTCGTATCCAAAGGGGCCGCCATTCTTCCCAGTCAATAACAGCTAAACCTACAGCATCCCGGTTTGGTATGTACTTATCAACACCTTTCTGCATTTCGCTAAGGTGCTGCGAGAGACTGGCGATCTGCGGCAGCCCCCCGTGCATCGGCATCTCATCCGCATCAAAGTAGGGGTACAAGCCCAAGCGGTCGTGGTAGAACATGGTCAAGTTCTGCCTGACAAATCCCTCATTTGGTGTAGCCACAATCTGGAACTGATCCAGCTGGAAAGAAACACTGTGCCAGGGGCCACACTCCTGAGTTGGGACATTCCAGGCGAGGAGAAGGGGTTTCTGGGAGAACAGGGGCCATCTTGTAGGTTTCACTTCTGAAGCGCAGAAGCCGTCCCAGAGCAGAACAATCAGGAGCGGTACTCTCCAGTAACAATGAGTCCAATACAACATGTCTTCAGATGTGTCCCGAGTGTCCTTCTCGGCCCTACAATTTAGAGAGGAAAATGTAGGTTTAGAAATTCCTATACTGCACTCTTTGTCTACATACATTGTTTCAAATAGGACAAAACTTTAACCGCCGCTGTGCCTGTTACTTAACAGGTTTTGCTTGGTAACCACAAACTACTCAAGAGATTGTTGACGAGTAACCAAAGAGTGAGTGAATAAAGCCCGGTTCACACTACACAATTTTAGAATTGTTGGGCAATCGTCGGCCGATTTTCAAAATCTGAGAAACCACACACTATCCAATCAAAATTGCAGGTATAACGCATTCGATCGGCCCGATCGTGCAGTGTTCAGCCAGCCACACGGCAAGAGCAACACACCACACACAAACTTATTTCTCAACGACATTCAGATTCCAGACCGAAAATAAAGAAAAAGTCCACTACAACACACAGGAATTTAGAATAAACAAACATGGCAGACAACATAGAAGCAATAGCTACAGTTTGTGAGCTTATTTTAAACATAAAAGGTGTAACAAATAGAAGAGGCGTTGGATAAAAATATGGAAACTTGGCACATGGCGGCTCTATTTTTTTAAAAGTTATGTTTTGTCGTTTATATGTGATGCACCATGAAGTGGGAGATTTTAATAATCTAGTCAACATTGCTACTGACACCCACTTTTTTCCCTTCCGATACCAATCCAATACAGAAAAACAGAGTTTTATAGTTTTCAATACTAAATCATTAGTATTGAAATGTATTATATGTGTTTTTTTAGACTGAAATTAACCGAAATACCATGTCAAATCAAAAAAGGGAAAAAATAATTAATAATAATAGAAACGTACACTTTAACGTAAATTACTTTAACAGCTGGTATACAGAAGTAAACAATAAGTATTTTATTTAACCAAAATGCAGATAGCGTTTCACCAGGCGACCTAGAGTGAGGAGCCCAGCCCCCTCACTCCTCAGACAAGAGTTTGGGGAAGAAAACGTCGGTCATTCCTGCATTCACTGAAGCTATTCATGTTTACAGGCTTTTCACTCAGAAGAAAGGAGAAGCAAAGACATCAGTAAACATCATTGTTACAATTGTTTCAACCCAGCTGAGATGTGTAACAAACTATGGAGGCTCGTCCAGGATCTCTCCTCATCAAAACCATTGGGAGAAGATCCAGATACCAGAACCACGTGACCAAGGTGACAGTATACAGCTGAAGATCAGAGTGGGAAGGAACCGCCATCCTCCACCGCAACCACACTGCAGGTCCTGAGGTCAACTTATGCTGATCACCGAGGAGCCATATCGCTGATCAAGATGACAACGAACTCTGGTTACAGCTGAGCCAAGTTGTTGATCCAGAGAACAACGTACGCTATCTGCAGAGGAGTCAACTCATTGATTTGGAGGACAATGTGTGATTTATCAGAGGACTGAACTGGAGGACTGAGCTGTGGTAGAAGCAAATACCATGGCAGTGGTTCGCAAAGAGTTAATATGGAACATCAAGAAACAACTTTTCAAACTCTCAAGGGACAACATTTATGAGGTGGCTTAAAACATTGCTACTAACAGCCAGCATGGAGATGAACTGGATCCAAACGAAAAAAGCTGCTTAGAATTTGTCATTTCCTCTTTGTGGTCTGATCCCTTACTCGGGCGAGAAGACAAAGCTATGGGTTGGTTGCTGGATTTGAATGACTTGATATATAAGCTAGTGAACTTTGATGCTACTGATGATTCTGTAGCAGGTGTGTTGAATGAGGTTTGTGCACGTATTACATTGAGTCACACTCAGTCTGTAACAACCCCATGCTCACTTTAACAGTACAGTCATGCAGCCCCAACCTGATTCTATTACCCAACCCAACACAAAAATATGGTTGGTAGAAGGACTGAGACAGGTGTATGAAGAACTGGGCGAGAAACTCCGGGGAAGCATGAGTATATTGTGACCCCACCAATCCCAATTTCTCCCCCCCCCAGGTGAGTCAGAGTTATATGACAGGCCACAAATGACCCCAGATGAGCTTGTGTGTTTGAAGGACCTCTCCTACCTGCATCGCATATATTTGAAAGTAGGGACAAAACGTGCAGATCTCCGACAGAGACTGAGGCACCTGAATTTAAACAGCCAAGTTACAGATGAGGAAACCATCAGACAAGTCATGAAAATCATGAGTGATGAGAATGAGCACAAATGCAGACTGGGCCAACTATCTAGACAAAAGACAACGCAAGCACACAGTACCAACGTTGAAACAGGAGGTGATCACAACACATCACCAGACACAGTAGCAGACAGTAAGAACCTCCAGACAATAGGATAACTCAGTGCTCAAGTGAAAGCCTTGACTCAAAAGGTGGGTTCATCAATGGATCTGCATGCAGCTAGCCCACAAGTGTCTCAACCTCGAACTAGGTGAGCCCATATGCAACCACACCCTTCCTACCAACCATCCTCAAGCAGGCCGCTACAGCCTCTAATGAGGAACCCGCAGCTCAGATGAGGGGCAGTATGGCTAGTTTCCCCAAGGTCTACTGAGCAGAACTCACAGAGTGTAACCACTGCTTTACATGAGGAGAAGCAGGGCACAAAGTGATTGGATGTTTGAAGTGAGTCAAGTCGCAGGGAAACGGGACTCAGTTTTTGTTGAGGGACACCCAGAGACCAGCGAGCAATTCCAGTCCCAAGCAGTAGATCAAACTTCAAGTCAAATAGCAAGAAGCCTCAAACAAAGACAACATCAGGAGCCTCACACACTCCTCAGCCAAAGAATAGTCACCTGCACAGCAACCCTGATTGAAAGAAAAGCCTGCTGAAATGCCTGCTTGGTGGCAACCCAATTACAGATTATTCAGATTATTATTTTATTTAATGAGAGGCAAAAAATCTGTTTAACCAACCTGACCCTATCTGGAAAAGTAAATACCCTCTACCACTGAGACAGAACTTGTTCGACAACACAAAGAGGCTATAAGAGCAACACACTGTGACCTGATCTAAAGAAATTCAAGAATAAAAGTGAAAGCTGTTGATATATATCAGCATGGAAAGGGTTTAAGAAACCAAATACAAACTCTTCAGGGAATAACAAGCAAACATGGTGGGTATGTGATTATCAATGATTTGCAGAAGTAGGAAGTTTTCTCTCCATCTGGAATTTTATTAAGATATTTGGTGGTGCTTTTGTAATAACAATAAAAAGGTAAATATATGACTGACTTCATGACACAGCATTCATGGAACCACAAACATAAATACTGTTCTTGAATTCCCATTTGAAATAAGCTTCTTCAGGATGCCACTGAAAGAAGACTGATCTATATCAATAAATTGCTCACAGTAACTGTATTTAACCATGTTTTTTAACTTACTGACATTAATTGGAGCAGTTGTGGAACAAACAATGTAAGTAACATTTCCAATAATACTGTAAGTTTTTTTTTCTTTAAGGTAATTAATATTGATCAGGACAAGAGATCAAAATTGTTATCATCTTAAAGTTTTTTGTTATAAATGACAATGTAATTGTCAACCCAGATTATGAGCAAAGGTCAGACCATTCGCTCATTACATTAAGCTCAAACACACAAGCAATGAGGAGGAAATTGAACCATTTCAACCATCTGTGTTGGAGCAGACACACATCTAAAACTGGCAGGACAGCAGGACAAAGATCCATAACACAGTAACAAGTCAAACTCTGAATGGTTAAGTATAAAAAAAAACTAATGTGACCTAGTCAAAGTCTTGACTTAAATCCAACTCCAATGCAATGGAATAACTCTAAACACAAAACTCTAATCAGAACGAATTTAAAAAGGTGAATGGTGAATCAAAATTCCTCAATACTCAATGCCAGCTACTGCAAACACTTGCTACCAATATGGTTGGAACAGCCAGTTATCAGGTTTTGTAGAGGTAAAATACTTTTTCTACTTTGACTATAACAGAAAACTGCACTACACTTGTACTGAGGATGAAACATTAGAAAGTTACAGAATAATAATAAAAAACACTATTCAATCGCGATTATATTTAAAAATACAATTAATAATTTAAAAGGAAGTTAAAATGTATCATAACTGCGTTTAATTATTGTCAAACTTGTTAAATTAACAGTTTTTATTCTCTGAAAACATTGACTTTGTCATGCTTTTCCAATTTCTATGTAAGCAAATAAACAAAACAAAGATTTAAAAAGTCCTACAGTCGTCATTTTATTCCTCCGCTCCACATTTTTCTTTTTTTTTTTTTTCCTTACAGTTTACAGTTTATTAACAGCCAGTACAGCAATGATAAGATCCGAGTGGATGGACCTACCTTTAACAGCAGACTGGGGAAGCATTCCCGTAAAAAAAGAATCCCAAAAACTTCAGGCGCGTCTCTGCAGAACAATCATTTCCTCCGGGTGAGGAACTTGCGGTGGGAAAACTTCAGAAAGGCAGAAGAAAGAGTGTCGCACCGTGTCGGCTCGGCTCGGCTCCCGGTCTTCTCACGGCCACTGCAGCGGGGAAAGAGTGAACTTACCCCCCGCGATGTTGTCAGTTCAAACTCCTGCAGTCAGAAAAGCTCAAACCATTTTCAGGATGTTCCATTCAGGCCGGGAAGAGAGGGGGGGATCCCTCCGGACATCCTGAAAACTCCGTCAGCGCCTTCAATTTCTTGGGTAAAACGCGTTTCCTTTGCGTAACTCCTCGCGTATCGGATGAGTGATCCAATCGACCTCAACTTGGTCGCGTTTTGTTATTTTTTTCCCGAGTTAGTTTATTGGGTTCAGCCCATAATGTTTCAGTCCAAGAAGCTGACCAGCAGGAACAGTGAAACAGACACCCTAACTATACCAAGATCCACGCCAGGACAGTTTGCAATGTCCCAAAAATAAATTCACTAACGACATTTCAGATACGTTATGTCCCGCAGTGCACATGGACCCAGTTGTCTGCTGAATTTGAACCCGAACCTCAAAGATTTTGATCGTTTTTTATCAAAATTCAGACATAAACGTGTGAATTTGTTGCTCGCTTTGCTATATAATTCATGTAAAATTGATTTTATTCAATGGATTTATTACTAAATGGATTTATTACTGAATAAAATCCATTCCAATCAGCTGCCATTAGAAGACACCCAATTGAAATCTACA